AAAAAAATCAGATTTAGTTTAACTCAAAATTAATAAAAACAGTTAAAAGCAACTCAGAATGTGACTCAAAGCTGCAATAATTAAATGTTAAATAATACAAATATCCTTTATGTATTTAATCCCATTTATTTGCTGCTGACCTTCAGTGATCCAGTTCAACCATTATTACACAAGATAAACTAACATTTCTTCTTTTTGTTTATTGCTGAAGAGTGTTGAACTTTCTTCTTCTGTGTTCTACTGTACAGACGTGAATTTGCATTTCCTTCAGCCTGAGGCTTTTGGTGTGAAAAGGCTTTTATATTTGCCAAAAATATAACTTTTTATATTAAAAGCAAACAAGCAAGCCCAGCCCAGATTTAAAAAAGTAACGCAAACGTAACGCATTACTTTCAATAAAAAGTAACTAAGTAACGTAGTTACTTTTTTAGTAAGTAACGCAATATTGTAATGCATTACTTTTAAAAGTAACTTTCCCCAACACTGGTCATGAATGTCCACATGACGCCACAATCTCTGTTTAATCCCACAGATTGCAGGAAGTGTGAAAGCCAAGACCTCATAGAGATTAATGGGGCCCGTGTGTGTGTGGTTGCAAGCGCAGCTGAAAACTGAAACCCTTTGTCCTGCATGTCTGTCCTTGTCAATCAGCAGGTGATCTGGTTACAAAGACATGTGAGAACAGACACCTGTGGAAAGAGTTTGCCAAAAGATCACTTACAGTGTGTTTGAGAGGGCATTGTGGGAATGGAGCTTGATCATTGCTCACTTGTAAACAATGAGCGTACTTTGTTTGAAGTCATGGATAAAATCACCTGTAATTAAAGATGGAGTGGCCTGTGCTTACATGCTGTTTGATGTCATTTCTATAGTTCATTGGCTTTTATGTCCCCATGAAACAATACTGCATATTTGACATAAAATGCTAATCAGTTTTCATGTCACATGGTTTTCCCATACATAGATGTGCCTTCGCCTTGAAATAAGTTACAGATATATACAATTTTGAGTATTAGTATACATCTTATTCTGACATGACATAAAACACAAATTATAGGTCATGTCTCTCAAATTCCAGTCTACCCTGTTACACTGGTGCTACTTACCCTTAAAATCTTAAGAGTATGCCATAAATCACATGACTTGTTGGAAATTACATCATTTCCTTGGAGGGAAAGCAACTCTAAGAACAAAGTATGTTAGTCATAAACATGTCCACCCTGTTGTGTCAATTTGTACCAGACATGAAAAAGTTGCTGATGTTATATATCTATTAATATTCTTACAAAATGTTAATCTTCTGCTAGCATGTTGTTCTTTTT